AACTGAGAAATAATGGTCAAACTTAGTTGTATGGCGTCTCAGTTGTCACTCAGTCGAGTGGATTGAATGATAATGAGTAATTCGATTTTGGGCACAAATTTGCATCCTCTGAATCAGTTTAGAGGTGGGAAAAGTTGATGTCTTACGTGTCGCCCAGATCCGCGTGATTCTCTCAGTAGATAGCATGAGCTAAGTAGCCTATTGTACTGGTTTTCGATCACATATGCCATTTTGGATTGCTCAATGTTACCTATGCTGTGCAACTGGCCAACACTTTCTTGTTCCGTTATTGGTTAATCGTACAACTATTCCCATCTACCTCAGGGAACAACTCTTGTACTATTTTTCTCTCTCAATTACTGAAGTATATAATTTGTTATATTGCCTTATTGTGTTCATCGCAATTGGGTTTGTACATATCTGAAAGTTCGTAAATTGCTGAAAATTTGACTTTTGATTGCATAAAACGTTTCTTGACTTGACTTGACTTGGTTTAGAACGGATCAACTTGAAGCAGTGGCTGTTCGACGAGTTTTTTAAAGCTAGTTTCAAAAAACAAGTTTGCATGTCTCCTTAAGGATGCAAGCAAGCAGGTAGAAGTAATCTGAAATTCTCACATTCTTTTTAATTTATACCTTGATGTGATTACACAGATTGCATACACGTAGTATCGTATTTCCTCTGATTGCGACTGTGAACTTCTACACGTATGCTATAAACACACACTATCGTTGAATAAATCGATTGTTTCTGGACTCCCTCCACCCCTCCTCTCGTATTCATACATTCAACGCCTCTAAGGATGACATTGTTATGGGAACGTTGACTGTGCGAGAAAATTTGCACTTTTCGGCCGCACTGCGAATGACTGTGAAATGTTCCAAAGCGGAGAGAGATCAAAAAGTGAACGAAATTATCGATGAGCTCGGGTTGACCGCAGTCGCAGACAGTAAAGTACGTTGATCACCCCACTCCTAATCCCCAATCGGTTGTTTCTTCGAGTTGGTACTTTTCAATGCATTGATACATCTTCGCTAGAGGCGGACATTTCCGAAAGAGAGGAAAAGCAGGACATCATACAGCAATAAGTTAGGAAGTCTCTACGGTCCCGTATATTAAACGATGCACTGAAACATTTAAGAAAAACACCTAGTGTTTCATCAATTTGAAATAACACAGAGGAAGGAATATTGTGGGCTTCCCAATACTCTTCCATGGGAACAAATTCTGAGCTTTAGTCTTGCTGTTCACTCGGTTAATTGTCAGTGTATTCTGTCAATGGGACTATGTAGACATTTAGAGGTTCTCGTCAGGGTCTTTCAACAGAAAATAAAAATCTGGTTTTCACATGGGTCAGATCCAAACTAACCAATCAGGTGGCGCGCATAATATCTGTCTACCGTTCACTCGTTTGTCTGCTGACAGTTTGGCAGATGCATTAGCTCCGCTCGATCCATCGAACTTTCACAAAACAGAATAGGTTTCTCAAACAGTACCACTCAAATAAAATTAAAACCGAATTCCACTGACCTGTCTGGTGGAATATACATTCCAATTGCATTCCTTGGAAAGTGATCTCAACGGTCAGAGAATGTAAGTGTGACTGGTTTATCATCATCTCTTATTGTGTACTGTCTTATTCGGGAGATACAAATGTGAGCGGAATTGTTGTGTGGTTGGATAGTTTTGTGGCGAAGTGTACCATTTCAACCACCCACTTCATACTGTCTAAGAAAATGCCCAGAGAAATCCATTAATAGATATCTGCATGATTCAGAGGAAATTCATGCACTTCATTAAGCGTGATACACACACACATAGGAAACGCCATGATTATTGCATACCCACTTCACATAAATAACATTTGATTTTAGATTTTAAGCGGGATGCTTTCCTTCGGTGGACACTGTGGACGACTGGAAATATTCATACAAATTGTGAAAATGGTCAATTAAAAAAGAGGACGAGTCGGGAGAAATCATTTCATTTAGTGCATGTTCATGTGCACCGATGTTCTTTTGCGTTAAATGAAATTTACCTCATCACCAGCTACGTTCAACCACACATTAAGCGATGAAAACATACTAAACAACGCTGCGTTGCCATAGAGCACAAAGTGCTATTAATCCCACCATATTTTCGGTATTGTTTCAGCAACCAAATCACCTAGACAAATCAAATTTTCCATTTTGATAAAATACGTCACCGTAGAAGAGAAACTCCACGGATAGTGATGGACTCACTCCACGTGAAATAACTTAAAATTAATTTTCTCCGATGATCGAGGGCTGCGAAATGTTTCTAAACCCATTTTTGATTGCTGTCGTTACGCTAGACTCCTTCGTTAGTTAAATAAGTCAGCCAAAACCCAGATGTATAATATTGAACAACATTGATGTTCGACATTTCCAGTGCAAAATGAGTAGCAAGGCTATTCATCGTGGTTTCACGCCTGGAACTATCCCTTGCTGGATCAGAGGAATTTCACGAGGTCTTTAGGACTGTCTGAGCTGGAACACCGAAAGCTACATGCCTAGAATACCCCGGGCACCGTTCTGCGCAAGATTGTAGGAAATATTCATTGATCAAGGCCGGTTGTTCTTAACTGGTTTATCAACCCACGTTCCTATCCCTCTAGGAATCAACATGAAGTTGATTAGGTAAGAGATAATACTTACGTGATACTTCAAATCTGGTAATTAATACTCCAAAATACAGTGATCTTTGCGATGGAGGGGCACAACAAAGCCCTTGTAACAACTACCCACCTTATTAAAATCATTAGGGTTGTAGGATACGTCCGGTGTCCAAGTCAAAGCTAAGTGATGCACCAAGCCATACGAGGGGAGTCAATCTACTTGGTATTTATTTTGGTATCCAGTGGGTTCGGTTCTGTAGGTAAATAACGTCACTTCATAAGCCGATGTGCAAACCTCAAATTGTGCCTTTATCCCAGGGAGTTCATCGCATAGTCCGTTGGTTAGAGGTGATAAGAAAAGACAAGAAACGGTCACTAGGGCCTAACGAGAGAAAAAGACGTTTGGTCCCCGAAACAAAGCAAATTGGCAGGCCGAAAGGCTAAGGTCGACTAAAGGTGAAATATCTGGGCTGGCTGTCAAGAGTAGTGTCAGATCAGAGTAGGAGGCAGAACGTACCGGAATATGATGAACAACGAAAGAACGCCTCAGTACAAACTCAACGTGAAATTAATCACATAACTTGGATGGCCGTTAAACGAGATGAATCATGTGACGGGGCAAGCTTGGACCTGTGCTTGTGTGAATGGGCTTGAGTGTGCGAATGTGGAAGTGATCTGTTATCATATCGATCGACCCAAAATGGTAGAAAAGTTACTGGGACCAAAACAAGGTGTGACTGATAGAGATGCTAAACGAAGGTAATTTGATATATCGTCAGGATAGAACTGGTTTGATTTTTCCAGGCCCCCACTCTCGCACTCAGAAGGGATCCTTGCTTAATTGGTACAATTTACTCTTGCCACAACCGTAGAAACCATGCTGGAGAACCATCTACTCACGAGTGGTTACCCATCGGCCACGTTCCGCGGGGCAGGTTCTTATCTAGCAAAAGCACCAGTTCTCCCGTCCGTAGGTTTCCACGCGATTGCTACCATTTATTCCGTTTGCTTAATACAGGTAGGTAATCCGCTGTCCAGCTGTCCAAAATGTATCCACGAGAAACTGGTTTTTGTTTCTATTGACTTGTACATTGATCACTTTGGTCTGCTAAGGTTCATTTGGTATTGTTTTGTTCTCTCTCAATAGCGGTAAGCAGATGAGCAAAAGAGCTGTACAAGTTATTGAGCCATCACATAAAAGGACTAGGTAACTGATGTCTTCCGGTAGATAAGCAAATAGGGGCTCTTCGTTAAGTGTCTGCTTCCGTGAGACGGCGTTGAGAATCATTCTGACAGAGATTTTCATCCGTTCTAACGGACCACCTCGGGGACTCGCAAAGCGTTGGTTGGCACGCCATTCTATCTTTTTGGATAGCATATTTTATTGTCCATTTTGTTCTTCTCCAACTCGCATAGAAACCGGTGTAATTCTAACCCTACACTCGAGAATGTCTGATCTCGGTTACTGTGCACCCGTGTGGGGCATTCTCGTCTTGTTACAAGTCGACAAAATGTCATGGGAAATGAAGTGAGAGTGAGAGTATGCAACTTCAGTGTGTACCACAATAGTTTTGAAACATTCAAATATACAGCCATGACGTTTCTGGGTCATACGGATATAAACCGGTCAAAAATTGTATATTCAGTGGTAGCCAGCGGAAAATCTGTTTTAGTTCAAGCGTCAGACAGGTTTGATATAATTTGTTCTATAAGCTCGCCTGTTCTCGTAGCTAATGCATTATGAAATCATGCGCCCGACTGCAGAGTCGTCCGTTATGATCCAAGGTTTTCTCAGGAGCAGCCGATAACGAATGCA